GATAATTTGGGCAACATAGTAGACTCCATTAAACATTTTTTTTTTTAAAGGGCCAATGAGACAGTACCTAAATTTGATCCCCAGAACCCACAAGGTAGAGAGAACTGACTCCCACAAGTAGTCCTCTGTCCACACACACAACCCCACACAGAAAATAAAGAAATGCAAAATAAAATTTAAAAGCTTAGGAGTACACAAGTATGTGTTGGTGCATGTAACTAAATATGTGTGAAATTTGTTTGCTAAAAATTAGAAAACATTGCTGGAAGAAGCAAGCTTAGCCACCTGGGAAGAGGGGTCTTGATGTTAACACCAGAGACTCAGCTGTCAGGTGTGGCTTGTCACCCCTCCGGTTCAGCCAGCAACAGTCAGGATCCCTGCAGGCTCCATTTGTAAAGACCAAGAAGCTGGTTCAGAAATTCACATGGAAATACAAAGGATCTTACATAATGGAAGCACTTTTAGGAATGAGGGGCACAATTTGAAGACTAATGCTATCTAGGACATGTTGTCACTGAAGCAGAGTGTGCCCCCTGGAGACTGCTGTCTGGAGTCAGATGTGAAAGAATGAGCAGTGGAATGGAGCATCCTCCATTCCAGGCCAAACTTGAAACAAGTGAAAATGGTTAATTGGAGTTATTTTCAGTCTTATGGTATATAACGTGTAGGTTTTAAAAAACAATTCCCTAATATTGCTGTTTTTTAAAATATTTTTAAAATTTGGCTTTTAAAAAATTTTATATGAAGGGATGTTTCATCCACATGCGTGCTTGGTGCCTGCAGAGGCAAGAAAAGGGGGTCAGATTCTCTGGAAGGGAGTTACAGCTGTGGGTTTTGTTTTGTTTTGTTTTGTTTTGTCTTTTTTGAGACAGGGTCTCCTTGTAGCCCCAGCTGTCCTGGAACTCACTATGTAGATGAGGCTGGCCTCAGACTCACAAAGATCTGCCTGCCTCTGCCTCCCAAGTGCTGGGATTAAAGGTGTATGCCACCACGCCCGGCAAGGGAGTTACGGTTGTAAGGCACCATGTATGTAACCCTGGGAACTGAATCTTGGTCCTCTGCAAGAGCACCCAGTGCTCTTAACTGCTGAGCCATCTCTCCAGCTCCTGTTTTACTTTTTAAGAATGTTGAAACCAAGGCTGCTCTTGGAGAGGACCAGGATCTGGTTCCCAGCTCCAATGTGGTAGCTAACAACCTTTCATGACTTGAATTCCAGAGGATCTAATACCCTCTTCTGGCCTCCACAAGCATTTGATGCATGGGTGCTGCATTTACATACATGCAGGTGAAACACTCATACAACATAAAATATATTTATTGTTTTTATTTTATGTATATGAGTGTATTGCCTGCATATATGTTAAGTGCACCCATGTCCTGTAATGCCCACAGTGGTCAGAAAGAGGGTGTCGGATTCCTCTGGAACTGGAGTTTTGGATGGTTGTTTGCTGCCATGTGGGTGCAGGGAATTGAATCCAGGTTCTCTGCCAGAGCATCCAATACTCTTAACCACTGAGCCATCTCTCCAGTCCCCATAAATATGTTTTTGTTTTTTTTTTTCAAATGTTGAAGCTACCAGGTTTGATGGCACATGCTTGTAATCCCAGCACTCAAAGGGCTGAAGCAAGAGGACTGCTGTGAGTTTGAGGCCAACTAGGGCTACATAGCAAGATTCTGTCTTTAAAAAAGGCACTTTGCATTTTACATTTAAAAATAGCATACTTTGGGACTGGAGAAATGACTGAGCGGTTAAGAGCACTAGCTGCTCTTACAGAGGATCTAGGGTCAGTTCCCAGGACCAAATGGCAGCTAACCATCAATAACTCCAGTTTCCAGGGATCCAACACCCTCTTCTGGCAACTGTGGGCATTGCACAACATGGGTACACTTATATACATGCAGGGAAAACACACATTTATTATAAATAATTTTATTTTAAAAATAAAAATAGCATACTTTGTTCTTTGCATTTAACTCAGTGGGAATATGTGTGTTCATGTGTCAGGAAAGAGAAGACTTAGAACATTTCCCATAGGAAATGGGAAATTGTGAACTGGGTGAGCTTGGATTGCAGTTGTGACTCCTCAGTCATTTGGGAGCATCTCAGTAGCAAAAGGCTCTGATTCACTTGCAGTAACTCTTCCACCTTGGCCCTCACCTGATACTTTTTGTTCTGTTTGAGACAGGGTCTCACTGTAAAGCCTTATCAGGCCTTGAATTTGCTATGTAGATGCTAACCTTTGCCTTTTGTCTCCCAAGTGCTTGGAATATGGGCGTGTGCTACCATACCTAGTTTATCTGGTGCTGTGAATCTTTTCTAATTTCCCCTTGAATTAGCAGTTAGTATCCATGGAATGCCCCCACCTTTTGGGAAGGGCCTAATCCTGATACCACCTGGGAATAAGCAGGGAATAAGAAGACAAAGTCGAAGTTGCCGGGCGTGATGGCTCACGCCTTTAAACCCAGCACTTAGGAGGCAGAGGCAGGAGGATCTCTGTGAATTCAAGGCCAGCCTGGTCTACATAGTGAGTTCCAGGACAGATGGAGATACAGGGAGACCCTGTCTCAAAAAGACAAAGTCCTGGGCTGGAGAGATGGCTCAATGGTTAGGAACACTGTTCTTGCAGAAGACCCGGGTTCAAATCCCAGCACCCACATGGAAGCTAACAACTGTTAGTGTTGTACCCCATCCACTGGACCCCAAAAAGACCACCGAGGACCCAACACACCAAAATGCAAAAGCAAAGGTTTATGGCTTATTTGGGCTTAAGCTCAGGCTCTCAGACCTCACCAACTCAACAGATCCATGCTGAGAGCCCAGAGTAAGGGAGAGTGGAGCCTTTTATACGTTTTAGACAAAGGGTGGCGGGGGGGAATACCGAAGATACATTTTGGTTGGTTCAAGGAGCCCGCGTGCACCAACATA